CTCTCACACACACACACACACACACACACACACACATATACACACTTTCTCTTTCTCTCTCTCTCTCTCTCTCACACACACACACACACACACACACACACACACACACACACACAAGCACACGTACATGTATATCTTTCCGTGAAAAGAAATGTATGTATGAAACCTCCCCCGAAACATAATAATAATATGTAAAATGGAAAGACGAGCTTAACCCTGACTGTTCAAAAAGACAGGGTAAATTATGCTTTGAGCTATGAGAATGAGAGCTATTTCAATATGGAAACGATCTTTCAACCAGTTTACCAGACAAAATCTATACATTTTAAGCAACAAAAATAAATTATGGAAACTGCACAAATGTACAAAAACAGGAGTGCAAATGTTTCCAACACTTTCAGGTTAAACAAAATGGGAGAACAACAATCGAAAAAGTTAAAGTGCAGTTGACGAGAAATAAGAGAGCGAGAAAAAAAAATACTTAAAAGGATTGAGGGTTGGGATTTTATTCTATCCGGCCCAGATGTCAAGATTCCAGGGGTATGTTTTAAACATGTCTACAGAACATTCTGGTGAATACGTTTTCTCAAAATCATTTTTCTTCTACAATGTACGCAAAATGTTTGTGGCGTGGCCCTCTAGAGATTAGACTGTTGGGCTCGCAACCGAAACGTTGTGAGTTCGAACTCTATCCTCAAAGGTTCGACGTTTTTTTCCTTGAGAAAGGCATTTCATACATTTTTTCCTCACTTCACCCAATCGAGAATGAGTATCTGCTAAAGATAACGAACAGTCTTGTCTGTTTGGTAGTGTTTGAGTGGTTAGTCAGCTGCTTGCACTGTTTATTTCCTTGGAAACCGAGAACGTTTTTGAGTGGCACAGGGTCTGCTAGGCTTATAATGGTTGCAAAAAGCAGAGAGAATGCTGTGGTTTGTCTTGATGGGCGTCCTTTGTGTTTTGTAAACCTTTTACCCCTTCCAAAACAGGACGGGTTTAAAAAAAATAGCAAACCGCTCTGCCCTCATGCACATATTATTCGCAGACACAACTGTTTTTGGCAATTTTTGTACCAAATGTACAGACAACCAGGCAAAATATTTGATAAAAACACTTTGAGGTAAACAGACTACTGACGAACAGGAACAGGAATAGAAGGAAAGACCGATAGACAAACAAATAGATTTCTTCTATTCTCTGAAAGAAACGTTCCCAGTCATCGATGTGGATGCTTGGAATGTACAATAAATGCTTCCTGGTGCTAGGCCGAAAAGAAAGGTAGGTTTTCAAGGGGAAAAAGGAGCAAAGGCAGGCTTTTAAAATGTCCAGACTATAAGAGAGAAAGGAAATTCTTGAGTTTCTCGATCGCAGGATGGACAAAAGCATTAAGTTAGATGAAAAATTTAAAAGGTCAGGCGTGATTACATCTGCTTCGGATTTCGGATGTGGTCGTGTTTCAGTGTCTTTCCCTTGTGTGTGTGTGTGTGTGTGTGTGTGTGTGTGTGTGTGTGTGTGTGTGTGT